TGATGGTAATCTCCTCATCTTCTTCATAATTTTAATGAGAATGCATCCTAATTTTCTCTTTTTGGAAGATGTGTTTTAGAATAAAAAAAATAGATACCCTTTATCAGGTTAAAGAAGTTCCCTTCTATTCCTGGTTTGTTGGTTTATTTATTTATTTATTTATTTTGAGACGGAGTTTCATTCTTTTTGCCCAGGCTGGAGTGCAATGGCATGGTCTCAGCTCACTGCAAACTCCGCCTCCAGGGTTCAAGTGATTCTCCTGCCTCAGCCTCCTGAGTAGTAGCTGGGATTACAGGCAGGCATCACCATCTTGTATTTTTAGTAGAGACAGCTAATTTTGTATTTTCAGTAGAGACGGGGTTTCACCATGTTGGCCAGGCTGGTGTCAAACTCCTGACCTCAGGTGATCCACCCTTCTCGGCTTCCCTAAGTGCTGGGATTGCAGGTGTGAGTCACTGTGCCCGACTTTATTCCTGGTTTATTAATAGTTTTACTCTTTAAGCCAGGGATGGGCAAACTACTACTCAATGGGCCAAATCCAGTCTGCCACTTGTTTTTGTATGGCCCATGAGCTAAAAATGATTTTTACATTTCATGTAAAATGTCACGTAATATTTTGTGACATGAAAATTACATGAAATTTGAATTTAAGTGTCCATAAATAAAGCTTTATTGGAACATAGTCATGTTCTTTATTCATTTATGTATTGTCTATGGCTGCTTTTGTGCTATAAGGCAGGGTTGAGTAGTTGTGATAGAGCCGATAGGAACCTACAAAGCCAAAGTAAATATCTGGCCCTATATTATATTATATTATATAGACAGTGTTTCACTCTTGTTGTTCAGGCTGGAGTGCAATAGCGCAATTGCACCAGCTAATTTTGTATTTTAGTAGAGCTGGGGTTTCACTATATTGGCCAGGCTGGTCTCAAACTCCTGACCTCAGGTGATCCACTCGCCTTGGCCTCCCAAAGTGCTGGGATTACAGGTGTGAGCCACTGTGCTCGGCCAATATTTGTCCCTTTATAGAAAAAGTTTACTGATTCTTGTTTGAAGTCAAGAATGGTACTGGGGGAAAGTTAGGTGAATGGATGTGCAGACCAAGAATAAGGGAAAGATCTCAGCCCTAACTCCTTCTTATACAGATTTTCAATCAGTCCACCTTTTCCAGCTTTACCCTCTTATCCTAGACTTTCTTAGTTTTTAGCTTTCCATTTCTAGAAATTTAGGGCTCTGTCTACACAGTGGTTTTCCTTCTCGGTAGCATTTCTTTGGGTGCACAATAGGTTCCACCATCAGCTCTGCCTTCCACCAGTTTTCCAGAAAAGCATTACAGTCTATTGCTGTTTCCTATTCCCCTTGTCTGCCTGATTATTGCTTTCCGGAGTGATGTTAGCAGTGTTTGGGGAGGGAGTTAAACCTTCTATTCCTCAGGTATAATCACTCTTCTCTTCCTACCACAAAACCGAGCACAGTGAAAGGGAGGAGACGGAGAGAGGAGACCGAGGGCAGGGAGAGGGAGGAGGGAGTGACGGGGTGGGGAAGTGAGGAGGAAGAGGGGGAACAGCTCCTGGGGAGAGGGAAGATGGGGGGTAAGAGGACGATGGGGTGGGGTGGGTCAGGGAGTGAATAGGCGGGGTTGGGTGAGACGAGGCTGGGTGTTTGTGCTTGAGAAGTGGGGGTGTGTGGAGGGGCAGAAAGGTAGACAGTGCCTGCGGGAAGAGGGGGTGAGGGGTGTGGGGGTCCGTGGGATGAGGGGAATGGGGAGAAGATTGAGGGTGAGCGGTGCTGGCGTGCTGGGGAAGGTGGGACTAGGAGAGGCAGAAAAATGGGGAGAGAAATGCGGGGGAGAGAAGGAACCTGGGGGAGATTTGAGGGGAGAAGGCGCTTGAGGGGGAACCAGGAGGGAATAAGGCTTGTGAGGGGCGAGTGTGGCCGGAGAAGGGGCTCCAGGGGAACCGTGCGGGGAGAAGGAGCCTGAAGGGGAGCGTGAGGGGTGGAGGCGCGTGAGGGGGAAGCCTGAGGGGAGAAGGTGAGTGAGGGGGAACTGTGGAGGGGAAGGGGCGGTCGGGAAAGGCGGGGGGAAGGCACTCGGCCGTTGTTGGGGAGCCGGGAAAGGGGCCTTGAAGCCGCGCCCGCCTGGCATTCAGGCCCGGGTCCGCCTCCCGGCCGCGCCGCCCTCGGTGTCGCCCTCGGTGTCGCCCTCGGTGTCGCCCTCGGTGTCGCCGCCTGGCGTTCCGGAGGCCGCCTCCGGGTTGCCGGCCTGGCGGCCCAGTCACCGCCGCACGGCCTCGAAAGGGAAATTCCTCAGGGGCGGAGCCCCAGGGAAGAAAGCCATTTCCTCCGCCTCTTCCAAAGCGGCAGGGTCCCTTCCTCCGCCTGCCTCTTAAACAACGTGGCATCTCGCAGTTTGGCTGAAACCCGAACTAAACGCAATGCTTGACTTTTACTTTCTCCCAGAACAGGTGTGATATGATCCGTTTTGGGGCCTTCCTGTTCCCTTTCCTTTTTTCCTTCCCCATTGTCTTTTTTTGAATTGATTTAAGACACAGGAAATTGCAAAAATAGTGTAGTTTTAAAACTGTATCATTCACCCAATTTTCCCCAGTGGTGACATCTTACATAATCATAAACGTTTGCAAAACCGGTACATTGACATCGATATAACGCTATTCAGTGAGCTACAGGCCTCCTTCACATCTCACCAGTTTTTACACCCTTTTTTGGGGGGTCTATAGCGATACTGGTGGGCGGGACGAGGTCCCCAAGTGCCATCAGCACGTTGGCTCTGCCAGTGTCCAGGCTCTTGCACCGTCAGGGGAGGGATTCGAGGGAATTCAGGGAGGAGTAAGAAGTCAGTGAAAGTACGGAGATTTACGGCAAAGTGCGAAGTGCACACTCCAGGAAGAAAAGGCAGTGCGGACGCACTCAAGAGAGTCAGGCACAAGGTGCCTTGGGGTTGCTACCTTTATGGGTTTCCTTAACCAGGAGGCGGAATATTCATGAAGATTCCTGGAAAAAGGTGGAGATCCCTTGGAACTGTGGTGCCACCCATTTTTACACCAAATATGGGTGTTCTGGGAACTGTCAGGGCACCGGTGGGTGTGGGATTTGTATGCTACTGAGCATATAATGAGGACTTAGGTGAAAGCTAGGTCAGATCCAGCACCGGATTCGGTCCAGCGGCTCTTAGCCAGCTTGGTCCACACCCAGTTTTCTCAGGGTCTTATCAGCCCATAGCTTCTGCAGCTATTTCAACAGTTGCCTTTTGCTAGTCATCTGAAAGTACTGCCTGGAATTTTCTCTCCTCCTGCAACCACCCTGTATTATTCCTGTCTCATAGTACTATGAAACTTTATCACCTGTGTAAGTTTAGGAAAGCACCGTCACAGTTAAGATACAAAATAGTTTCGACACCACAAAGAATCCCTTGTGCTCTATGTTTTTAGTCAGACCTTCCCCCAACCTTTATGTGTGTATATATGTATTTGTTTGTTTTTTAAAGATGGGGTCTAACTATGTTGCCAAAGGCTGCTCTTGAACTCCCAGCATTCCTATGATTGGAAGTCCAGAAAAAGAGGACATTGGGTGCTGAAATTTTTTTCCTTTTTTCTTTCTTTTGAGACAGGGTCTCACTCTGTTGCCTAGGCAGGAGTGCAGTAATGCGATCCTTCTGGGTGATCTGCTCCTGGGCAAACCTATTGCTGAGGCCTTCCAGAGTGTTGGAATTATAGGCCTCAGTCACCACGCCCAGCCTCCCCCAACTTTATCTCTTGACTACTACTGATCTGTTCTCCATCACTGTAATTATGTAATTTCGAGTTGCTATAAATCAAATCCTACAGCATGAAACCTTTTGAGATTGACTTTTCAAACTCAGCATAACATCTGTGGGGTCCATCCAAGTTTCCTGTAGTTTGTTCCTTTTTGTGGCTAAGTATTCCATTATATGGATGTGCCACAGTTTGTTACCATTTACCCACTGAAGGACATTTGTATTGTTTCCACTTGTAGTTTATTACTAATAAAGCTGCTATGAATACTCTCGTATGGATTTTTGTGTGGAATATTTAATTTCTAATATTCAAGAATATGGTGGTAGCTAGATTGTATATGGTAAGTGTATTTTTTTACTTTATAAAAAACTGTTTTCCAGGGTTTAGATAACCTTTAACATTCTACCAGCAATGTATAGGAGATTCAGTTTCTCCAATTTTTGCCAACACTTGGTAGTAAGTGCTTTTTATTTGAGCCCTTCTTGTAGCTCTGTAGTGCTCCCTCATTATGTTTAGATTTGCCTGTTTCTGATGTCTAGCGATGTTGAATTTCTTTTCATGTGCTTATTTGTATCTATATCTCTTCTTTGATGAAGTTTCTGTTGAAATATTTTGCCCTTTTAAATTTTTTTTAGATGGGGTCTTGCTATGTCTATCAGGCTGGTCTTCAACTCTTGGGCTCAAGTACTCCTCGCTCCTTGGAATCCTGGCTAGCTGGGACTATAGGTTTATGCCACTGTGCCTGGCAAATTTTTTTTTTTTTTTGGTCCAGTGGAAGCCCATTTATTCCAATATAATCTATAGAAACTTCTACTCTTTCTTCATTTAAATGCTCTTGCATCTTTGTCAAAAAATCAGTTGGGAATACTTGTGTGGGTCTTTTTCTGTATCATAATGTTCCATTGATATATGGATCTGTTGTTTATTTTAGTACTATACAGTTTGATATTGTAGATGTATTGTCTATTGTAGATAATACTGTCCTTGGCCTCCCAAAGTGCTGGGATTACAGGCATGAGTTACTGCACCCAGGCAGCGGGAAATTGCATTTTTAATGCACTAACTCAGGGAATCTTTAATTGGGATAGGAGCCACATTAACTGATTTTACATAAATTGTTTGTTTCCTAATATTTTGTATTTCTCATTCAGCTTCATTACCTCTAAACTCACCTTTCTGCTTTTCTTTCTTATGTTCTGCTCCTAAATGTAAAATGACTGATAGTATAACTTCCATTCATTCTTGTGAACAGGACCGTTGCTATTTGTATTAGCTAATTGCAAAACAAAATTTACCACTATTGATTTCTTGAGGTAAGTTTCACATTCCTACTTTTATATTACAACTATCTTAGGAGTACATATTTATGCATTTTCTTAAAACTTTCTTTTTTTTTTTTTTTTTTGAGACGGAGTTTCGCTCTTGTTACCCAGGCTGGAGTGCAATGTCGCGATCTCGGCTCACCGCAACCTCCGCCTCCCGGGTTCAGGCAATTCTCCTGCCTCAGCCTCCTGAGTAGCTGGGATTACAGGCACGCGCCACCATGCCCAGCTAATTTTTTGCATTTTTAGTAGAGACGGGGTTTCACCATGTTGACCAGGATGGTCTCGATCTCTTGACCTTGTGATCCACCCGCCTCGGCCTCTCAAAGTGCTGGGATTACAGGCGTGAGCCACCGCGCCTGGCCCAAAACTTTCATCATTTTGTTAAACATGGTGTCATTTTGATAGCTGTCATTTTTGCCTTCCTTTTATTAGGGTCCTTTAAGATTTCCACATCTGTATCTTTACAGGAGGGTTAAATATTGTTTTAAATTGGTCTGTTTTTCAGTGGCCTTTAGAAAATGGTTCACAAAATTTTTATAGTTGGGAGTATTCTATCGCATGATTTACTTGCCTTTGAAGACCTAGTGGGAGTGCAAATGTTTTGACCCCAAGTTAGAAATTATGGAGAAGAGATTTCCTTCCTTCCTTTCTTCTTTCTTCTTTCTTTTCTTTTCTTTTCTTTCTTTCCTTTCCTTTCCTCCCCTCCCCTCCCCCTCCTCCTTTTCCCCCCCCCCCTCCCCCCCTCCCTCCCCCTCCCTCCCTCCTTTCTTCTTTCTTTCTTTCTTTCTTTCTTTCTTTCTTTCTTTTCTCCCTCCTTTTTTTTTTCTTTCTTTTCCTCCCTCCCTCCCTCCCTTCCTTCCTTCCTTCCTTCTTCCTTCCTTTTTTTTGTACTTTAAATTCTAGGGACATGTGTGGAACATGCAGGTTTGTTACATAGGTATACATGTGTCATTGGTGGTTGGCTGCATCAATCACCCCATCATCTACATTAGGTATTTCTTCTAATGCTATCCCTCTCCTAACCCCCTACCCACCAACAGTCCCTGGTGTGTGATGTTCCCTGGATACAGAGAGGTTTCTATAAATCTTTTTCTTCTGAATTCTTGCTTCAGTGAGACATACACACAGATACGGAATCAGCTGAGCTGGGTTGCTGAAGCATATCTACTATTTTTTTAATAATTGCCTTGACAGGGTCCCTGCTTCTTACCAGAAATCTGAGGGAAGTTGCATTAGTCATACCCTTATAAAACCTAGTAGTGGCTGGGCACAGTGGCTCATGTCTGTAATCCCTGCACTTTGGGAGGCCAAGGCAGTGGATCACCTGAGGTCAGGATTTGAGATCAGCCTGGCCAACATGGTGAAACCCCGTCTCTACTAAAAAATACAAAAACTAGCTGAGCGTGGTGGTGCATGCCTGTAATCCCAGCTACTCAAGAGGCTGAGGCATGAGAATTGCTTGAATCCAGGAGGAGGAGGTTGTAGTGAGCCAAGATCATGCCACTGCACTCCAGCCTGGGTGAAGAGTGAGAAAAAACAAAACAAAACAAAACAAAACACAACAAAACACAACACCTACTAGTTAGCTGTCAGATGGACCAGAGAGAGCTATAGAAAAAAAAAATGACATGAGAATGACAAAAATCTAATACTTTTAACTATGTGAAAATCTTTCTGGTCAAAAATTTTCCCTGATAACAGTGTAATATGTGCAAGAGGTATGCCAACTAAGGCTGATAAAATCTCTAAATGTGTGTTTTTCACAGATGACAGAAGCAATTTACAATATAAAAATCCATGTTCAATGTCTGTCCTCCATCCTCTTCTCTCTCTCTCTCTTTCTGGCAACTCAGTTTTGCTAAATCTGTGCAGCTGATCAAAGACCTGAGGATTCTGCGACTTCTAAAATAAACATATCCATACCTGTGGCAGGGCTGTGAGATCACAGTAGACAGCTGTCCAGTGGATTAGACTGTGCTGGAAATTGTGGAGCTACTCTTTTAAGGTTGTGGTTAGGTAGCCTGAAACATTTAGGAAACATTTTATACTTTGGGCAGAGACTAATGTCTGGTTTCTCTCCTTTTTTCATCAAACGTCTCCAAAGAATAGCAGATCAGTATGAAACTGGAAGACATGTAGTTAGTTCAAAGAATTTGATAATTAGAATTACAGACTCTCAGGAAGCCTGTTTGGAAGGGACCATAAAGATAATTTATTCTAATTACTCAGCGGTTTCCTGAGACTCTCCTTTGTAGCATTCTCACTGAATGAACCTTAAACTCTTGCTTAAACTCTTTGGGCCTCCACTTATCCTTATTTCTAAGATAAAATTTGTTACTTTGTACCGTCCATTGATCTATTTTTGGGGCTATACAAAACATTCTAATCCATTATGAACTTTCACCTATTTGAAAGTAAGTCTCATTGTTTCCTCACATTTGATTTCCCAGGGAATTCTGCAACTTCCTGCTCACTTGAGTCTTTCTCTCCTGAAGGCATTTTGTTATCCACATCCCATGATAAAATTGAATGTAATGTTCAGGGTCTGGATGAACCAGCACAGAATAGAACAGTATAAAAATGAAATTTCTAAAAATGATTATTTTAAAATAGACTAAAATAAATTAACTCTCTTGGGTGTTTGAAAGACACATCCCACAACTACTTACTTGTATCTCTATATTCTTTCTGCTTACCTTCCTTCTCCTCACTTTTCTTTGGAAAGTGCGCTTCACAAGTTCATTAGTCATCTCCAAATAGCAACTACAGTGTTCTTTCAGTCCTTATTTTCCTTGAGGTCTCAGCTATCCTTTAATCACTCATTTTTCCTCAAAACTCTAATCTTCCTTGATTATTGGAACATTCCATTATGCAGGTTTTCCTTATATCTTCCTATCCCTTAGTTAAATTTCTTCAATATATTACATACAGCAAACTCAGTCCTTGGACTTCTGCTTTTGCTAAGTCCTGTATTTTCTCCTTTGAAGAACTCACTGTAATGGCTTCAGTTGTAACCTGTATTCTCCTAACTCCAGATCTCTCTTGAACGACAAATATTATTGCTTATTCCCTTAAAACAACAATTAGTTATCCCCTCCCTGTCCAAAAACTATCTCCTAGTTTGTTTGTTACCTAGTTTCAAAAGTTTTGAAACCCTTGTGTTTTTCTCTTTTCCTTACTCTTATGCAGTCAGTCATGAAGTAGTGACTCTTCTTTGATTTTTCTTCTATTTATTCTTTTTCCGTTTACTTACTCCAAGTACTTCTTAATTAGATTTACTACCTGTGATATTTCTTGTTTTCAATCTTATTTTTCACAATCACAAGAGTAACTATTTTTAAAATGATACCACCTTATTCATCTCACTCTGCCTCTCAAACATTGTAGAATGCTTCCAGTTGCCTGAAAAGTAAAATATAAATTCCTGGCTTGTTCTTCAAATCCCTTTATAATCCTCTTTTCAGAATTATACCCCAAGATGCCTCCCAAGAGTCTGCCATAACAGCAGAATTGCCTACCGCACCTGGACATGGTAGACAGTGACACTTTCCCCTTTGCCTTTCATTTACTGTTTGTAATTCACTCAGCATATCAACATCTTATCTGTCTGCTGTGATACGCTGTATACCACTACTCCCTTCCCCATGAAGTTATCACCTTTACTTTCTCATCCCACAGTGGATTATGTTGCCCATCTATTCTTTTGTAACTTAGGTTTTACTTAAAAAATTGCCATGTATACTTATATGACTATGTATGTGATAAGCTACTTGATCACAGGAACTCTGACTTGTGTTTTTCTGTACACCCCTTATTGCTAGACCAGCGCCTTGCAAACGTTAGGCTTGCCATGAGAAGTTATTGGTTGATTGGTTGGGGAGGCTATCATAGACATACTTGTCAAAGAATTACTATACATTTCTTTAATTAAAATGTTTTACTTCAGAAAGTGTCCAGTCTTTCTTGACTGAGTCACATATGTATTAAGTTACAAAGCAAATATTTGGAAACTGAGGTTTGTGGCTGAAAGATTTAAGTTTCTGAAGAGCAGAAACTGTGATATGAAGATGAAAGGGATTTTATAATTATAATCTGTTTAGGCAATGGCTGGGATATAGTTTGTACCTGGAGGATGGGAATCATAATAATCACTTGTCTTACAGGCCTTTAAAAACTCTATCCTTATTCTTCCACTTTTTTGTCTTCCTTCTTTCCTTTACTTGCCTTTGCCCTTTTCGAGTCTTTTGATTTTTCATCATTGATTTCTGATTCTCTCTTTCCTTTAACTTTGCCTTTTCCTTCATCACCTTTTGTGTTTTTATCACCTTTTTCTTCTTTATCTGGATCTTTCTTTGCGTGTCTTTCCTTTTCTTTACCATTATTTCCTTTATCTTCAAAACTCTCCTTTTTTTCTTGGTCTTCCTGTCCTTTTAGTACACTCACCTCAGTGTTCTCCACTTGGGATTCCGGTCCTTTTGGTACACTAATCTCAGTGTTCGTCACTTGGGATTCCGGTTCTTTTGGTACACTCACCTCAGTGTTCGTCGCTTGGGATTCCGGTTCTTTTGGTGCATTCACCTCAGTGTTCGTCACTTGGGATTCCGGTTCTTTTGGTACATTCACTTCAGTGTCCTTTACTTGGGATTCTGGTCCTTTCAGTACACCTGCCTCACTCTCCTTTTCTGGGACCTCCTGTTTCTTTGGCACATCTGCCTCACTCTTCTCTACTTGGCCTTCTTGTCCTTGTACCTGCAACTCACTCTTCTTTTCTTGGGCTTCCTCTCCTTTTGATACATTTGCCTCACTCTTCTCTACCTGGGCTTCCCGTCCTTTCAGTACACCTGACTCACTCTTCTTTACTTGGGACTCAGGTCTTCTTGGCACACCCATCTCACTCTTCTCTACCTGGGCTTCCTGTCCCTTCAGTACAACCAGCCCACTCTTCTTTACCTGGGCTTCTTGTCCCTTTGGTACACCTGCCTCACTCTTCCTGACTTGGGACTCTGGTCTTCGTGGCGTACCCATCTCACTCTTCTGTACTTGGACTTCCTGTCCTTTCAGTACAACTGGCCCGCTCTTCTTTACCTGGGCTTCTTGTCCCTTTGGTACACCTGCCTCACTCTTCTTTATTTGGGCTTCCTGTCCTTTTGGTACACTCATCTCACTGTTTTTTAGTTGGATTTTCTGTCTTTTTGGTATTCCAGTGTCACTGTCTACCTTGACTTTCATTCCTATCTTGTTTTTCTCTAAATCAGTGCCTTTTCCTTCTCTTTTTGGCTCCTTTATGTGTGTTGCTATCAAGCATTCAACAGAATTCATAAATATGATGTCATTCTTTAGTGCTTCCTCGTTTTTTTCTTGGCTGTTCTGAGAACTTGCAGTGTCTCCATTTTTTAGAATCTGGATTTTGGAACATGATTTTTTTGCAAGTTCTTCATCCATGTAACCTGGCAATATAACTGGGCATACAACAAAAGGGCGTGATTTAGATATCAAGTATTTTCCCTTTATTTCAATTTTTTCCCCTTGACATTGGTTTCTTTTTCTGTCTTAAAGCTGACAAACTGAAATTTTTCTGAATCTCAAGTTATCTAAAGTGATGGCTCTCTATACATAAAACTATGAAAGTATCGATAAAATTCTGGACTATTTTCAATAATTTGGAAGACTAATGAAAGAAAAGGTAAAATATACTGTAAATGAACTGATGTTTGTTCAGTGGATTATGGCTAATGAATAATGCTTAGCGGCTGACAGAGGATGTATTCTGAAAAGAAATAGAATTTATTTTGAGGAAAAATTGTGGGAGGAAGTAATAATTATATTTGTCATAATAGAAAAAGGAAACAAATATGCTTTCAATATTGAATAAAAACATATCTTATTATGCAAAACTAACAAAGTATGAGCTGATAATTATTAAGTGCTTACCACATACCAAGTGCTCACTGTTCTGAGCACTTTATGTATTAAATCATTTGATACAACAACCAGGTAGGATATTATTAACCTCATTTTACAAATGAAGAAATTGAGGCACAGAACGCTTAAGTGAATATGAATAAGGTTATATAATCAGTAGGTGGTGGAGCTGGGATTTGAACCTGAATAGTCCGACTCCAGAGTTCAGTTTTGACCATTATCATAGAGTGTTTCTTGCAATATCTGCTAACTCTGCAAAAATTTCAGGTCCTTTGATCGTGTTTAGGTAAATCAGCTCTGTATGCCTCAACTCCTGTGTGATTTAACAAACTTGAATTTATTGGCTTCTGCTAGATATTTTTTATTTGCTTTTTTTTTTTTTTTAAAAAAAAGGCAATATGGTTCCCTGAATTAAGTAAAAGAAATATTTGAACCACCAAGGAGTTGTGTGGGCTCTTGCTGTGGAGCAGAGGCATATCTTGCTTTGAGAAAATGTAATATTTAATATTTAATATAATAGAATACGGAATATAAAAGCTGAATCAGAAGACTTGGGCTGGGGGTGGTGGCTCACACCTGTAATCCCAGCACTTTGGAAGGCTGAAGTGGGCAGACCACTTGAGGTCAGGAGCTGGAGACCAGCCTGGCCAACATGATGAAACCCTGTCTCTACTCAAAATACAAAAATTAGCCAGGCATGGTGGCGTACACTGTAGTCCCGGCTATTCGGGAGGCTGAGGCAGGAGAATTGCTTGAACCTGGGAGTCAGAGGTTGCAGTGAGCTGAGATTGTGCCACTGCACTCCAGTCTGGGTGACAGAGTAAGACTCCATTTCAAACAACAACAACAACAACAGAAACAAGTTTACTCTTCCTGCTAGCTGGCTAGCTGGGTTTAACGGGTTTTAAGGTAAATCTGTTAACCCTCAAAGACTCACTGTTCTTATATTTAGTTTGATCTGCTCACTTGAAGGGTTTAAAAGTTATTAAATATTGTAGACAAATATTAAAGAAACATAGTGTTTGGAGACAGACTGGTTCAAATCCTGCCTCCACACCCACCTAGCTGGTTGACATTTGGCAAACTTTACTTTCTATCTGTAAAGTTCCGCAATAGTAGTAGCTACTCCAAAGAGGTGTTATGAGATCAAATAATGTTATCTAAGTAAAAGCACTTGGTACAGTGCATGGGACATAATAAGTAGTCAATAAATATTGGCCATTACTATTTCCCAATGACATAGTACAGGAAAAATCTCTTGATTCGGTCAAGATAAGGCATTCTTAGCTTCCAACAAATAACTTAGAGGAATGGTTAATTGTATTACAGGAAAATTTCTTGCTTAAAAATGAATTATCAGACTTTTTGTGTTTTACATTTAGGGTCTGACGTTTGAAAAACTGGTATACACAGAACTTCAGAATTTTATCAATTATAAAAATGAGGCACACCTGTATTAGGTAAGAAATTAATTATAAATCAAAAGGGATGTTGTAGTTCAGTGTTTTCTTTTTTAATTTTCAGCTTTTGACATCCTAATAAAAATAACATTAGAAAACTTGCAATAATGCTTTCTGAACCTTTTTGCATATTTCCCTCCCAGAGTTCTTCACTAAAATAGGATTACTGACATTTTATTCTAGACAAACCAATTTTCAATTTCCTAATGAAATTCAGTAGTAATATATTTCAAGCATTGCTAAATTGAGAAAAATAGTTCAGAATATTTTGATCTTTGACAGTGCTACCAGTGGACACTGTTTTGTTTTGTTTGGGGGTGTGGTGTGTGGAATGGTAAGATCATGCTTTTTCATTAAAGCCTCTAACCTTAAGAATTTCATGGAATGTACTCCTCAGAAAAGCTGATTTTTCTTAAGCTATGAATATTTTTAGTTTTACTATCTCTTGGGGGTAGTTATTTGCTACTGTGTGTAATACTACGTGATTCATTTTAACCTAAATTTACCTTCTATATTATATAGATTTTGTAAACCAGAATTAAATATTATAAGAATTCCTGAAGCACCCAGTGTTTATTCTAGCTACACCTTTCCTAATTTCACAGAATTTAAACAATTTTTATTCTTTCTCTCACTACACTGAAAAAGTACCTCTAGTTACTTCTAATAGAGTCTTCATACCCTTATTTTAATATATTTGCTTTCATCTTTAAAGTCCTGAATTTCATTAACATAGATTAGATTTACAAGATTTACTTTTTTTAAATTTAATTTTTAATTTTTTATTTATTTATTTTTTTGAGACAGAATCTTGCTCTGTCGCCAGGCTGGAGTGCAGTGGCGCAATCTCCGCTCGCTGCAACCTCCGCCTCCTGGGTTCAAGCGATTCTTCCGCCCCAGCCTCCCGAGTAGCTGGGACCACAGGCGCGTGCCACCACGCCCGGCTAGTTTTTTTTGTATTTTTAGTAGAGACGGGGTTTCACCGTGTTGGCCAGGATGGTCTTGATCTCTTGACCTCCTGATCCACCCGCCTCGGCCTCCCAAAGTGCTGGGATTACAGGCATGAGCCACTGCGCCCCGCCTTCAAGATTTACTTTTGAGGAATCCAGCTATCCCATAAAGTGAGGTTTGCTTTTATTTCAACTTTGCATCGCAGAAGTAAGCCACAAATCATTATTCTACTACATTCTAAGTTATTTTCTCCCTTCTCAAAGATTTCAAGTTAGTTCATACATCTTTTCTTTCTCTTGGACCTCATAATCATCCTACACTTACAATGTGAATCTTTCGTAATATGAAGACTTGTAAGCCCTGGCTGCAAGTACATTTATTGCAGGCAGTAGCCCATACTACAAAATTCGAATACAATCAAAAGATTTAATCAAGACTTTGGCGATCATTGTAATATATTCAAGCTGATTAAAAAGTAATGATTAAAATTTAAAAATCGGATTAATTTTTGTTAAAGCTAAAAGATATGAAATAGCTATCACATTAACAATTCTGTCTAAATGATACTTAGTGTAGAAAATAGAATGTGGGCTTTATTAGGAAACTAATCTTAGGTTCTTAATCCAGCAGTTGGCAGGGAGAGCACAGACTGTAAAAGATCTGTTCAGTATCAGAGGGATGAATCATTATGGTTCTCAGGCTGTGAATTACATTTTAAAAGATCATATACTCATTAGTTGAATGAGGAGGTGAGAAATAAGAGACCCAGTTTGCTAGGATGATGTTTGTTGGTTTAATCTGTCTTAAACCTTTCTTTAAACACTGAATTAAACCTCAACTTCCTTTTTCTAAAAATATCAACTGGGGCCAGATATAATGGCTCATGCCAGTAATCCCAGCACTTTGGGAGGCTGAAATGGGAGGATCACTGGAAGTCAGGAGTTCAAGACCAGCTTGGGCAACATGGTGAGACCTCCCCCATCCCTATTTTTTAAAAGAAATAGAAAAAAAAATCAGTTGGGAATATTGTGTTTGAAAGATTATATTAATAAGAATATACGTTTTACAAAAATTTTTAAAAAAGATTAAATGGATTTTTCTCTGGCAACTTAAAAAAATTAGTATTCCTTAAAAATTAATTACTTCTGGGAAGAGACTTGGCCTGTGATCCCTTCTCAGAGCCCTTGTATTAGTCAGGGTTCTTCTGAGTCAAGTTGACACAAAACATCAAACATCAGAGCCCTTTTTGGTGGGAGAGAAACTCACAAGATCACAGTCCTATCACCTTTTCTATGTGAGGAGAGCATTTGAGGGATGTAGGCACGTTATGATTATTCTGAATGCCTACTGTTTCTTGTACCATGAATCAAAATAAATTAATTGTCCTGGCTGGGTGCTGGTGGCTCACGCCTGTAATCTCAGCACTTTGGGAGGCCAAGGAGGGTAGATCCCTTGAGGTCAGGAGCTCCAGACGAGCCTGATGAAATCCTGTCTCTATTAAAAATACAAAATTAGTCATGCGTGGTAGCACAGGCCTATAATCCCAGCTACTTGGGAGGCTGAGGCAGGAGAATCACTTGAACCTGGGAGGTGGAGGTTACAGTGAGCCGAGATCAAGCCATTGCACTCCAGCCTGGGTGATGAGAGCAAAACTTCGTCAAAAAAAAAAAAAAAAAAAAAAAAAAAAAAAAAAAAAAAAGAAAGAAAGAAATTAATTGCCCCTTTCAGCGTCCGCTCCCTGCTGTCCCCTCTCTCCAAACCCACTCTCTTTCTAGTATGAACTGAGAAAGAAAATGAGGCTTAAACATAGTTAAATATAAGGACGTACTTTGTTTGGAATATTTGAAATGCTTAAAATGTGTCTCACTAGGTTTAAGCGGTATTTGCTTCTTTTGATCATATATTTACAGAATTAAACAAAAGTTATTATTCTATTTTGTTTTGTATGGTTTCCTTGCTTGAAGAGCTGAGCCATGTATTAAGTAATCCTAATAGAGAGAAATCTGCATTCAGAAAACAGTTAAAAAAGTCAAACATTAATTTAAATGGGGTCTTCTATTTTTAAAAGGATTTTGTGTACATTTAACCAGCTTTTCTGTAGATGTATATTTGTATTTACAAACATTTTATAAAGTTTCATGACTAATCACAAAAAATTCATTTGTGATTCAGTATAGGAGGCAATGTGTTGGTATGGAAAGGGTGTGTATTTTGGAGATAAGATGTCCTGGGTTTAAATCCTGACACCAGTGTTTACCAACTCTTTAACCTTGGGTAAATATCTGAGTTAGCTTCCTAATCTGTAAAATGTGGAATAATAGCTACCAGGCAGGGATATGGTAAGAATAAGAGATAATAAGAGGTGCTACTTTTGTAAGTGCCTAGCACAGTGCACAATACATAGTCAATGCTCAGTACCTACTGTCTTTCAAAGGTAAAGTTATTTAGAAGACAACAGAAAGTAGATAGGATTTTGTTTTTAACTAGTTTTTCACCCCGTTAATATGACTCAGAGGGACTTCACCTATAACTAAAAAAGAGTTCTAAATTCCCAGCAGAGAACTAATGAATTCAGAAACCAATCTTTTCATTAAGTTTTGCTGAGAATCAGGGAGAAGATTCTTTTTCAGAGCCTAGAAGATGGCCAGAGATTGTGGCATCCTTTCACATGAACTTCATCTTCTCTACCGCAATCTCCTAAAAAGTAGTTGTTTAAAAATTTGGGGCTAAGTGCAGTTACTCATGCTGCAGTTCCAGCACTTTGGGAGGCCGAGGCAGGAGGATCACTTGAGCCCAGGAGTTCAACACCAACCTGGGCAACATAGTGAGATACTGTCTCAAAAGAAAAAAGAAGAAAAGAAAAAAAAAGAAAACTCTTGGAAGTTTTTGGAGGACAGGAACATTCAAAATGACCTTAGAAGCACAAGCCTCTATTTTAGGAGTAGAAAC